ACTGGAAAAATGCTATATTTCCAACTATTATATCTTTGGCGGGAGAGCCCAGGACGCAACCTACAAATTGAAGACGTCAAAATAAAGTACAGGCAATTAACCATATTGGAATTGGAGGGTGCGATGGAAAAATTGTCGTCTAAATGACGCAAAAATGAAAATAATAAAGGCATCTCATTTTAACAGATATATTTAGCAAAATGACACAAAAATATCTTGAAATACTAAAGAGTACATTTATTCAATAAAACCGCCACTGGCTCCAAACACGGTCCCCAGACGACTTCGGAATTTTCTGCAACTCTTCTGGACAGTCTGTTTAAGTTGGTAAATGCTGCAATAATCCTTGCCTTTAGTTCATCTTTGATTTTACAAGAAGTTTTTATAACACATTGACTGCCAACTATATGGTCACTTATGGCTGACAGTTTTTATTTACAACCCCGATTTATCGGTTTATTTATGTACTTACCATCAAGGCTACAACCACAATTTTTCCGTTGATTAAACGCAACTAATTGGTACCTAGTGTCTAAGGTAGGAATGAAATATCGGACTGGCAGCTAAAAGATATTTTTGTGGGAAAAATTATTGAAAATATAACACATAAACGAAGCATTTGAAAAATACATACGAGGTCTGATCAAAAAGTATTGGGACTTTTGCTATTGTAATGGAGATAAACTATGCAAACTGAAGCCGCTTGACACAAACTGACCCTGAACGATTTCGCGCATAGACACTAAGTTATAACGTTCTCGTTCACTTACGTTGTTTATATCAGCGCTTGGAAGAAAAGTGTGCAGAGTGTGGTAGTCTCACAACACTACATAGATTCCATCAGTCACCGAGCTCAACATTCCCCGGATCCGACAACCACCATATTACGTTTGTCTCTTCAAAAATCAAATCGCACTTGAAAGGAACAAGATTTCATGGTAGCTGTTCACTCTGACAAAAGAGGAGTTCCCTGAATGCTTCCATCAATTGAAACAATGCTGGATAAAGTGTGTGGCTTCAGAAGGCGACTACTTCGAAGGTGATTAAATGCCGAATTTATATGCGTTGTAGTTTTCTTTTTATATTTCCATTTCCGATACTTTTTGATCAGACCTCGTAAGTTGGCTATTATAAATTTTGCATTTGAAGTCAGATTCTATGATTGAATTCTAGCAGTGAACGTATTAATAATAGTGGAGGCTGGGGACCATTCTATTAACAGTATTTTTCAGCTTTATTTTTTTGGGGGGAGGCAAAGTAGATGGTATCTAGCTAAGCAGAATATAAAGGAGTGTTGTCTTATATAAATATACTCTTTACTTTAAAACTTCTTGATTTTGACTTGTAGCACTCAAAAAGTACACCGACTGAAGCCGCTTGATTGACTGACATTCCATCACCTTTCGTCGATTGACTTCTATGTAAATAAATGTGGATATCAGTATGTCACACTTTTTCAACTTTACTCCGAGAGGTCGTAGCCCAACATATCATACCATTTTCGAATCACGCCGACTCCATGAGTAAATTAAAAACATTCCAAGCAGGATCCGGACCCGCAATCCTGAAATTTTGAATCCCCAAGTTTTCATTACTCTGATTGTTTTAGGCGATTTTTTTTACGTGATATTTTGCGACGAATTTTCTGTATAATAACAATTTCTATAACTTCGAAATGAATTTGGCAATAATTGAAATTAATTGCGAAATCTAGTGAAAATAACCCATGAAATAAATATAATTGTTTGTACGGAGACATACGTACAACAAATTGTCTTTAAATTAAGTGCCGTTTCTTGCATATTTTTTCGATTCTCGTATATGGCGTTTTCTATTAGATTAACATGTTAATAATAATAACGGCTGGAAACTATTCCATTAATATATTATCTTTCATAGATTGTTGTAGTTTAGGTGAAGATACTGTACGAGTCTTTAGTTGATTTCGGCATTTTATATTTTGATTTCATGTGATGATTAATAACCATATTATAAATCTATTTTTTTTTTATCAGATGATTGCATTCTAAAATATCACACCACTAAACAAGTTACTGTAAATATTTCTAGTAAAAAAGTTACTATAAAATGATATATTCCTATATATATATATATATATATATATATATATATATATATATATATATATATATATATATATATATATATATATATGAGCTGTGATACAGCGAAACAATACTGTCTGCGAATGACATAATTTAGCTTTTTGAAAATATATTTTCAATTGAGCACTGTTGAACGACAAGCTAATTCTAAAAACAACAGCCACCTGTATAAATGCGAAGCTCTTCAGTAAAATGAATGGAGCACTTTGGCTGCTTGGCGTTTGTTTAAGTTTTTAAAAACAATACGCTAGATTTGGATGATTTGTTCTGTCGAGTGAAGATGGCGCAGTTGCAGAACCTCTGACTGACACCAAATCGGTTGGGTTTCGATCCGGGTTTGAGGCATTCGGTTGTCTAGTCGCAATGAAGAGCTACGAAACAGTATTGTCTGCGAATGACATATATATGTGTGTATATATATATATACATTGAACAAAAAAAATATTAAAAAATTTAAATCTTCAGACACACTGGGTTGTATATTAACATTCTTCCGTTTTTATTATTATTTCATTTAAATTCCTCGATTAATTCGGGCCAATATGGCCATCATCAGGAGAAAAAAAAACTTCTGCTTGCTGGTAGCAGTGAACTACAGAAATCATATATATATATATATATGTTTGTGTGTGTAATATATAAATATGAGTATATCCATAGGAAATTCACAACATCGGTTGGTTAATACCACTTTCATTATGACACGAAAGCGAAACGCGTTATCATTTCAAAAGTTAAAGCTTGTCCACTTCGTCTCATTTAGCCACTTTTGTTCGATTGCTTTTCTACTTAAAAAGCATCTACGCAGACTTGTGGGTGATGAATTGTTTTCCACTTCACAACCTCTTTCCTTCTGGCGAACCGTTGCTAGCCTCTCGCTTCTCTATCGCTATTTCCATGGAAAATGTTCAGACGAGTGGCTTTACCGCATTGATTGGTGGGGAAATCGATAAATATATATATATAGGCTGTCCAAATCGTGTAACAGCAAGATTGTCCAATTCTTAGATTGAGCTCTGAACCGTTGTATCTTAGAAAAGATTAAATATATCATACTAGAATCTCCGATGTTTTATAAAATTATTGGACTCTACTTCGATCAATAAGAATGTCTAATTACTCTCCAAGCTTAACAGAAGTATCGTGATTAAATTGATCATAAACGAAAATGGCATGTTTATTATTAATTAATCATAGCTAAGGATCTGAAGCTCATGAAGTATTGAAATATTATATATATATATATATATATATATATATATATATATATATATATATATATATATATTATTCCAGGATCATTTTCCAACTTATTCAAGATGATCTTCGCCCTCGTCTAACCTTCAAACTTTCTGTCCTGGTGTAACAAGGTGCCTCACACGGTCACGTACGATTTCATTTTCAAGTCTTTTTTCATTGCTCTTTGGACTGTCATCTTTAAAACTCCTTTCTAACATGCCAAACGTCTTGTGAATTGAGTTGGATCTTTTCTAATTGATCTCTTTAGCTCTAAATTGAAATGAGGATCTCTCTTCCTGTTGTGATCTCCTGGTCTAGTTTACCTCTACTGTTCCTCTTTTTAAAACTTATTCGCCGTTTTCTTAATTGTTCTTGACTGGACTTTGAAGATGGAAGCCAGAGTATGAATGTTGATAGCATTACTGAAGGCCTGAATGATATTTTTCCTCACACCATTGCTCATTTGGGAAGAGAGTGGGTCTGACACAAAACGATTTTAACCTGTTCTCTTTTTAACTGAATAACTCAAAGTGTTTTTCAGTGATTCTTATGACAAATGGTTTCATGATAGCTAAACGTCTTATCTGAAAACCTGGTTAAAAAAAGAACTCAATTAGTTTAGTGGTATTTTTAGATATTAAACATCTTGTGGGATGGATAATTATGCTGTAATACGATCTGGACAATTTTGCTGTTACACCGGTATATATATATATATATATATATATATATATATATATATATATATATATATATATACACATAAAGAATAATACAATATGATAATCTGTGGAATTTTTCAGAAGGATATATATATATATATATATATATATATATATATATATATCAACACATAAGAATGGTACAATATGATAATCTGTATGGAATTTTCAGAAGGATATACATCCAGAGAGCTATATGTTAAAAGATAGATCCAAATTATTATTAATTAAAAATATCAAACACTTAAAATCTCATAGGTAATAATTTTTATTTCATGAGAGCTCTAAAAAATGCAGCTCTCAATCTTCAAAACCTACAAACAAAATCCTTTTGTAGGTTGAGAGCTGCTTTTTTAGAGGTCTCATGAAGTAAAAATCATTACCTATGAGATTTTAAGTGTTTGATATTCTTTAATTCTTATTAATAATAATAATATATATATATATATATATATATATATATATATATATAAGTATAGGTTTAGGAAAATTAAATAACTAAAATAAGCAATCATATATGCGCGTGCTGGCTTGTATACACAGGTAAGCAAATAAATAATTACCAAATTTTGCCAAGAAATATAATTATAATAGTGCTCAATGTGCTGAGACAGAGCTAGGAAATATATACAGTGTAACCCGGATATAAGAGACCCGGATATAAGAGAAACCCGGATATAAGAGAGATTGTCTCTGGTTCCAAATTAGAGCCTGTGTTAATGTATATAAATTAGACCAAACCCGGATATAAGAGAAACCCGGATGTAAGAGACTTCTTCTCCGGTCCCGACAACTCTCTTATATCCGGGTTACACTGTATTAATAAATATACGTATACCTACGTTTGGTGTGCGAACTCGTCGGGCACAAGATATAGCTTCTTTTTTTTTTTACATATACAGGGGGTCATGAT